AGAAATTTGAGAAAGATTCTGGTGAGTGGGAGTCTAGAGTCCATGAAACTGGCTCGGGTTTCAGCTTTTGGAGCTGTGAACGAGGGCAAGTGCTATCATGTGCGGTGGGGGAACGGGATACAATCTCTTGAAGGAGTTGGAGTATTAGAGGCAAGAATGGCTTGTCTGAAGCCAAGGGACAAATATCAGAAGTCCATATGATTATCTCTGCTGCAATAGAAGAGTTAGACTCTAGAAAGCGTATAGAGAAAGTGAGAAATGATTCCGACTCAGATCCAAATTTTCGCTCTGCTCTGAGTTCAATAGTTTGCGCTGAATTGTTCTTGAGTCGGGTAGGGTTGGAAGCTGCAAGTAGGAAAGTTTGAGGTGAGTTTGACTCGCTCCACTCATCCGAGTTGGGGAGTTCACATATCCATGACCATATATCCATATTTTCTTGGTGTAATATCCCCTTTCTCTTAAGGATTTTATTGTTTAAGATTCTTGAATATGGAGAAGAGTGCTGGGATTTATAGAGAGAATGAGTGATGCTAAGGTTGCCAACTTGAAATAAGATTTGTGGGTTCAAGGGAATCAAACTTTGTGGTTATGGATGAGACTTGTGTGCACCATTCGATTCTGCGGTTTTGGTCATTGGATGCATTAATTGCTTAGATAATACTAACATTCAAGGCTTATTTTTCTTCTTGAATTAATGTATTTATTCCCCGTTTTAGTATAATATAATTTTGGAGCGTTTGAGAAAAATCGGAAATTGAGGACCATAGCCAAATTTTCTTATTGTTTTCTTAATTTATATGATGTAAATTTGCAAGAAATCGAGTACAGAAGACTAGGGACATTGGATTTTTAGGAATTGTGGACCAAATCGTTCACAAGATCCGTTTTCAATGAAGTTTGGAGGTATTGTCATATAAGACACGGGATATATGGGATTTTTCGTAGTTATGGACGGAAACATACACATTGCCATCTTCTATATTTTTCTCGAGATTAAGTTTTTGCTTGGCTCCTAAATTATTTGATTGATAAATTGATTAGTCTGAATATGTGAAGTTTTCACCTCTGTGCATTTGGATTTGAAGAAAATGTTTGCGTGGTTCGTGCAAAATAAAAGAAGATGTCGTTTTCCTTTCATTTTTATAATTGATGATGATATGTGGAAATTTTACATGAAATGAAAGGAACTTTCATCATTGTGACATTGTTGTATGAAATTTAAATAGCAGTTGATCAGTGCTGTTTAGGTTGGGTGATCGGTTCTGCTGTGCTAATGTGCACGCGGCTTACGATGTTACACGTCCTACAAGACAATGAGTGATTAATGAACTCGTGAACCATTGACTCTACTTACCTTTGTTGCATCTTCGACCGCTAATTTTTTCTTCCAATAGCTAATTATTCTCTTAACTTTTAAAAATGAGGTGGTTGATTTTCATTATAATTGCTTAAGTCGAACATATTTAAGCCGGGCATGTTTTTTAAGTGTGCATAAATTGTATGTCCTATGGAAATATGTAAATAATAAGTGATTAAATTATGAATCTTATGAAATGTGTGAATAAAGAATATGATTGATTATAACTTAATGGTAAGATGATCAAAGAACATAATTATAACAAAGACTGCTCCAAGGTTCTTTAGAAAAATGTGAAATTTTCAAAATAACAATAAAATTGTCATACATTTCATTTTTGTTTGCAAGTTGAGAGCATTTTCAATAAATTCTCTATTTTTAAAGGACATATTCTATTATTTGGAGAGTATTTATAAATTTAGAGAGTTAAAATCTTGAAATGTTCCAACAAATTTTGTATATTTAACACTTAATTTTATTACTCTAAAGAAATATTTATTAATTTTCTCTATCTTTTTGTTTTATTTAACTTTTCTTTAAATTATTTTATTATTTTTCTATATTAAAAATTGAAATACTTTGAATGCATTTAATTATAAAAAGTGAGTTCGACCCACTCTCAAAATTAAAATGTTAATTTGAAGCATCATTTTAAAGGTTAACTCTTCAAAATAGAAAACATGTTATGTTTAAAGAATCTCTTGAAAAAATTCTAATACACACAATTGTTCCATTACCATAAAGTGTGCAAAATCTCAATATTGACTATTGAGCACTGAGAATAAGGAATGACGATCTTCGAGTACAACTTTCTTAGGTTTTGTATAATCTCTACATTTAACAAAATTACTGCCTCGAACATCTTTCAATCCCTAATAAGTTATAGACTTTTGAATTTCTACTTTTATTTATTTATTCTCGTAATGCAAGGAAATAGAATACTCCAACGAATGTTATTAATGAAATGACGTCCCATTTTCCCAAATTTTAAATAAATCACACATACCCCAGATCTCTTTAGCTTTTGGACAACTCTTCATGGTATGTTTCAAGATCGCGTTCAACTAATATATAAAACACAATATGCATCTATTAATAATTTGCCCTCATTTGGTCCCCATTCTTGTCAAATTTTAATGGTTGGAATAATGTTTTTTTGAAAAATGTGTGGTTGAAAAAGAATGAAAAGTTTTTTTTATTTGCGTGTAATATTATTTTATGGAAGATTGTGTGTTTGAAAATAAGAGAGAGAAAAAGAATGATATGAGATAATGGGGGCTAAACGGTGGCAAAATTCTACGAATGGAAGGTGTGAAAAATAACTACAATTTACCAATCATTATCGTATTTGTTTGGTAGTATTTTTAAGTGTTTATCAATTATTAATAAATTGTGAGTATTAATTTTTTTAGCTTTCGTTTGAGTCACATTATTGTAAAAATAAGAATGAAAAATATAATCGCTATGAATCCCACACAATAGATAAAAAGTCAAATATGATCGTTTAATGTGATAAATAATGATTATATTTTTCATTTTAATGAAAAAATAATGAGATTCAGAGAGATGGCATTAATTCATAATTTGCCAAATGCTCATAATTAGGTAAGACAAAAGAACATGCACCTATAACGTGTGGGTGGTATCCACTGGTAATGCGTTTTAGGCTGCGCCACGCAACGCAGTACCCATCCATTCACTTGCTTTTTTCTATATTTTGTGGCAAGAAACGTTGTTAATGTTGGAACTATAAATTTTTTCGTCCAAATTTTTTAAAATAAAATATGATCGAATAATTAATAAAAATTATAAATATACACTTAAAATTAGAGTTTAGTCAGTTAAAGCTCTAATTTTGAACCGGAGTTTAGGGGTCCGAACTGTCTCTTATGAAGCACGGTTTTCTCAGGCAAGTGCTGCGAAATCAGCATCCGTATAACTTAAAGGTAGGAAAAGCCTGTAAATAAGGCTTTTTCCCTCTCAGTAACTCCCGTAACTCCATTCCAAAAAAAAAAGAAAGAGAAAATATATACATATAGAGAGAGCATATGTAGCTTAAGCTGTCCTGTTCTCTGAAATTAACTCGAAACAAGAAGCTGAAGCTTCCGTTGTTTACTCCCATAAAACCCCATCCTTCTTCTACCCAATAACCCACCCCACACCCATACACACACATTACACAATCTTCTGGGTATATCAATGGAGGGTACTGGTAGTGATGGGTTTGAGGATGAATATTTCAATTTCACTTCATTTTTTTCATATGATAATCCTCCGAAAATGCTGTGTTTTGGAGATTATGGCAAAGAATGTGATTTGCAGATTGTGGAGAGTTCTGCTAAAATGGCTGAAAAATCTGGAGTTACATGCAGTGATTCATCCTCCACTTCTTCAACAAATTATGCACTGCCAAAATCCAAGAAGAGAGATGGGTCGGGTAGTGCAGAATTCACTCTGAACTCCGGCGTTAATTCCGGAGCTCTGGCAGGAACCCAGAAATACCGTAAGAAAACCAAGTCGACAAACTCAACTGTGATCTCCGGCCAATCGAAGGTCAGTCGAGACTAGAATTGCATGTAAAGGGAGACTAAATCTAAATACATTTACGTTGCTCAAATGCTTAACATTTTACAAGGTTTGGCAAAATATAGGAAAAGAAAGAGAAGCTTGGTGAAAGAATCACAGCGTTGCAGCAACTTGTGTCACCCTTTGGCAAAGTTTGATTCATTTTATTAATTTACAAATATATTAATTAGTTTAATTACATTTTTCTCTTTACTCTTCCTTTTACACAAATCAAATTGTGGAAATACATACTTGGAAATTGATTGCACAGACAGATACAGCATCAGTGCTTCATGACGCAATGGGTTACATAAGATTTCTGCAAGATCAGGTTCGGGTTCTATGTTCTCCATACATGCACTCTCTGCCTGTAAGTATTTTTTATCACCCCTCAAATACGCATATAGACCTTGTTTGGTAGAGATGAATATCATATTTTGATAAACGTTGATAAAATATGTGATTGAAAAGTTGTGAATCCTATAAGATATATGATTAAATTTAATGATTGACTTTAACTTAGATTTTAATCAGGTTTTTAAGCAATACCAAACTGGGTTATTCTCAGCACCTGATGATCCTTCCCATTAGCCTTTATCTAACAACTTGGAGAGTGTTTGGTACAGTCTAGTACTACATGACCGTAGATTGGATAATACAATTGAGAAAAAAATTTATTTGTTTTGATTTTATTTAATACTGTTCAATATTGTTGAGCCTATATTATAACGATATTGTGAGGCATGGGACATGAACAACATCGGAGCAACAGTGTTATAGCATCGCGTCTAGACATTATTTATGTAAATTGTACATATATAGCAGACTTTTAATGATAAAATGAATCAGCATGCATAACTGTATAATGTTATCATTTGTTCATTGGATTCAATCTAATTTTCAGTTTTAATGTTTATGCAATATTTCCAGTTAATTTTACGTGTTAAAAAACTAAAGTTTAGAAATTAGTAATTTTGAGGGGAAAAAAACAAATTCTGAAGTTCTATCAATGAGCTCAATCCTATCTATTTAATTGATCATTGCACTATTTTCTTGAAAGATGGTTTTGGACATGCAGGAGGACAAAGAAATGAAAGGGGAGAGTGAAACTGAAACAAGGAATGATCTAAGAAGCAAAGGGCTGTGTCTGGTTCCTGTTGAGTTAACCCTACATGTTGCAGACTCCAATGGAGCTGATTTCTGGTTATCTTCTATGATGAACAATAATGTTTTGTCAAACTAAAGACTCGCCTCTTCAGCTTTCTCTCTCTAAGTTGGACATGGCCAAGGATTTTGCTGAAAATTTTGCCCTTTTGACAATACAAGAAAACGATGAATTTTGGGTCGTTTGTGGAAATGAAAATCCATTATGTTCGCCATTTTGTTCGGTTTATTCCTAGATGTGTAATGGAAAATGAATGGTGAAATATGGAGTGAAAAAAAGAAAGAAAAGAAATAGAAAAATCGACCAAATCGATGAAACCAAATAGAGTCAGATTGGTTTGGTTCAGTTAATTTTAATTATTAAAAAGTTGGATCGGATTGGTATCGGTTTAAACAACCAACCGATCCATCAATTAATCGGCCCAATCCTCTAATACATTTTTTTTTCATTCTAATATTCATATTTTTTAAACTTAAATAACAAAATAACCTAAACACAAATACAATTTTTTCTCCAATAATTTGTTTACCGTCTATACTTTTTCTACCAAAACTCCAAATATCAATAGGAAAAAAACTTGAAGAAGAAGTGTTAATGCAAACTTCAAATTTAGATTGTAATCTTACGTTTCATTTTTGTGTAATTATTTGTAGGTAACTATCATATATTTATATGTTAATTTTGGAAACTTTGACCCTTTACCATTTACATTATATATTATTATTATTATTATTGATATGCACTATGCCAGTTAAAAAAATATATGTGCATAGGAAAGCAAAATTTTTTATCCAAAATTGGCAAGCAATTTTTTGTTTTTGTTTTTGGGAACATTGACCCTTTACCATTTACATTATATATATTATTATTATTGATATGCACAACGCCAGTTAAAAATATATATGTGCATAGGAAAGCAAAATTTTTTATCCAAAACTGGCAAGCAATTTTTTTTTTTTTTTTTTTTTTAATTCGTACCAATGTCCAAACTGATTAACCAAACGCTTGGTTCAATTTTAACGATTAAATTGGGTTGGTTTAAGTTGGGATTTACTCAAACCAATCAAGTTAGTTTTGATCTTGAATTGGACTCAAACCAATCTTACACGGACCATGCTCAAGCCTACTTTTGTATTTGCATTTTATTGAAGGTGTCTTTTTATAATGCATTTTCATTCAAGCAAATGAAATGCAAATATTGATAGGCGGACTAAACTATACTATTGAAAAAGAATTCATTAGTGTGCTTAGCCTCTATTTGTCATCATTTACTTTACATTCTTTTCCATTATATTTTTATAGTACTCATTTTTAACCACATACTTTTCACTAAAATAATACTATACGTAAATTTAAAACTTTTTTTTTAACCACACATTCTCCATCAATCACTATTCTATAATACATTTCTTCAAGTTTCGGGGCTCAAATAGGGCCTTAATGAATTTACTGGACGGAGTACATACCACAATTTCATTAGTCTACTTCATTAAAAAAAAAAAAAAAAAAAAGTTGAGAATTCATTGGGGTATATGTTTACTCTGAATTGTCAGTGAAAAAAATGTCCACACCAAATCATGAGTTGTTAGGGCATTTGGAGTTATAAAAAATCAATTAAAATTCAAGTTGGCGAGGCCTCTTAAACTTTATTAGTCCCAGTCTCGATTGGATCGCCTCGAACAACATAATTCACTTCTTTGATTCGCGGATTCGTTCCTCCCGACAGAAAGAGTTGAGAACACTTGCTAATAAAAAAAGGGAAATTTTTATATCTAAAAAGTTAAGTATTACTCGTTTCAAAACTAAGAATAAATTATTCAAATTTTAAAAATCATATTTCTTTTATAAATTAACTTATTAAACATATTTTTATTAATAAGATATATTAATGTCACAATTTTATACAATTTGATCACAATTTATGTATTATCTAGTTACGAATTAATTTTCAATCACAAATAATTTTTTTTATAGGTCACAGATTATTTATCGATTACAAATAAATTTTTTTATAAGTTACAGATTATTTATTGATCATAAGATCAAAATTTTTTATTAGTCGCAACTCATTTATTCATTACAAATTATTAGATTAATTGATAACAATTAATTTTTCAATCACAAGTTAATCAATTGTGAGTTACAGTTATAATATTTAGATCACATATTACAAATTAGCCAATTATTGGTCATAATCAACCAAATAATTGGTCACAAGCATCCAACCCATCTCATCCGACCCATCACCTTCGCCATGATAGCCACCATCACTATCACCATCAGACCTCGCAAAGCCACAACAGTTGCCCAAACACTAATGAAATCGTCACAACTTTATCCAACCACCAACAAAATCATCGCCGCTACCAATAAACCACTGCCACCATTGCCATCCAACATACCAAAACCAGACCAATGCTTATTCCACCACCATCACCAACTGTAACAATACCTGCGCAACCCAACACTGCATCACTACCACTACCACTACCATTGCACGACTGCATAGTTCGTCCCAGTCCGTCGCCGCCGCTGTTGTCGCTATCGCCACCAACAACCACAACCACCCTTTCTCTTTTTCAGTTCTGATCTGCAGCAACCACAACCAAATTGCATCACCCATGCCATCCCACACACGAAGCACCTACCTACAACCACACCACCACAATTGTCGACCACCGCACAATAGATCAAATCAAAAATAAAAAACCGATGAGGACATCACTTGATTGGATCATCATATTTTCTTGTGGATCATTTACTTATGTTTTATTTCATTGGGCTTGTATAATGGGTTTGGCCCCAACTCCTTTTCGTTTTGTTGTTACTTGAGACAGTTGATGATTATGATAAATTGAAATTGATTTTGGCTTGTAGCCAATGTTCTCCCTTCTCCTTTCCCCCTGAATTTCCGCTTCTTCTCCGGTTTCTTCTCCTTTCTTGCTGCCTTTTCGTTTATCCTACATCAAATTTGGTATCAAAGTCGAAACTTGGATAATTTCTCATCTACAATCCAAAAACTTTCTTCTTATCTTCTTTCCAAAAACTTAAAAGAGCAGGACAAACAAAAGAATTTGTTGTGAGAGCAGCAGTTTTCATTTTTTTTTTGCAGTTTCTTTCTTAGTTAAAAAAAGAGAGAAAAAAGAAAGAAAGAGAGAGTTACTATTCGCACTCGGAAAAAAAATAATTTTAGTATTTTCATCATTTTCTGAAAAAAAAACCTTCTGCTGTCGTAAATTTATTTGCTACTCATTCTAAATTACGTCGTTGTTCCCTACCCTAGTCCCAATACAATACTTAGTTGGGCCCTTTTTTTCCCCAAAATCATTAACCCATTACTCAGCCTCAATTCCTACAAAGCCCAATCCCACGTTCGGTCCAAACATCCGAACAATTAAACACATAATTCAAATCTCAAATACACAGGGCCTAACAATTCCTAAACCTATGCACCAACACGGCCCAAATCGTTTATCACCTTCAATTAGGGATGTCAAACGGGCCAAACGGCTCATTGGCTCGTTAAAACTCGGCCTGAGCCGAGCGGGGGGCTCAATCCCACGACCCGAGTCTGCTCGACTCGTCGAGCCTACGAGCTCGTAAAAAAATGTAAATTTATAAAAAAAATAAAAAATGTGCAAATTTACAAAAAAAAATAGAAAAATTAAAAAAATCACGAGCTTGCGAGCGGCTCGTGGGCTCGGCTAGGCTTGACCCACGAGCTCGTGGCGGCTCGTCTTTGACTAGCCCGAGCCGAACTCGTGGGTTAAAGGATCGAGCCGGCTCGGCTTGGCCCATTGCCATCACTACATTGCCCAAATTCTACCCCACAGTTCCACCCCCTTCAATATCCTAGACACCTATATCTCTATGACGTCGGCAACCATCCAATGCATTTTGCGTTGACGTCTCCCACGTCAGCAACCCGTCCACTCACAATCGCCTAACTATTAATCGCCCGTTTTCCACCAAAATCACACACGACTCCCCCCGACTACTATCCATCCCATTGCGGATCCCGCCAACATCTTCCATGCTGGCGCCACCATCTGCCTCAACACCCATCTCTACTCTAGCCATCTCCACCCGTCGCTGCCAACATCTCCAACCCCAGCATCTCAAACCATCACCCATCACACCGACTGCTCAATCTCACAATCAGACCCCACACAAATCAATACTCACCTCCCGATTCACACTCGTACTCACTTCATATACACAACCCACCATCGCTATACACAAAGCCACCACAACAACCACCAATCATCCATTAATATCAACAAATACAAAATAAGCACACTTCCATCTTTAAAAAAAAAAAAGAACAATAATCAACAACCACTCTCTCATACTTTTTCACCACACCAAAGTGACAGTCACCACAAAATAAGTACACTGCTGCTTTACAAGATGCACTTGGAGTGATTTCTGAAGTGGAAGACATCTGAAACAAAGGATAGAATAGAAGCATACTTGGGGCCCACTCATTGGCAATTTAGACCAATCGAAATACAGGGAGTCACAACTGGACTACAACTATCGCCACCACCGCCGACCACCGCACAATCGATCGAATTAAAAACAAAAAAAACCCCTAAAAAAATCGAGGCGATGTTGCAGATTCGGGAAGCAGCAGCACTGCTTCATGGTGCTCCCTCAGCTATGATCACTGCACCTTGCCGCCGCCGATGAGGATGGTTTCGATATCGAATGAGGGAGGAGAAGAAGAGAAGAATAGAGACTGAGAAGAGAGAAGGAGAAAGAGGAGGAGAAATGTTTTTTACGGTTGGGTAAATGTATTAGGGTTGAAATATCTTATTTGTGATAAGTGAAACCTTCCATCTGATTTTAGAACACAAATCTTTAAAAGTAGGGTTTGGTAATTTCCACATATAAAAATCATATAATGCTACTTTGCTAGAAAGTAGGTGACATAATGATTGAGATAATAGGTGCTGACAATATGTGATTAGTTGAAAAGTTGATTGTATTTTAAACAATTCAATAACAAATTGTTACGTGATATTTATGTATACATTTATGTAGCATGATCGTAAAATATAACCTGACTTATTGCCGGATCACCCATCACCAGTAGGTCATTCCACCAATTTGAGCTAAAATCGCAAATATGAGAACGCAATCCGCAAATCGTTGTGTTGTATACATTCTAGAGCGACTCTAGTTAAGCCCCTGTTTGACCCCCATTACCTGAAAATGAAAATGGGGGGAATAATAATTTTTAGAAAAATGAGTGGTTGAAAAAGAAGGAAAAATTTTCGATTTACGTGTAATATTATTTTATGAAAGATTGTGTGATTGAAAATAGGAAAGAGAAAAATGAAATATAATGTAATTGAATTTAATAGGGATCAAACGGGCACTACAGGCAATCTCGCCCCGCTCCCGCAAATGGTCGATCGGTGGTTAAATATAAATTCAAAATTAAGAAAATTTCCTATTCATTTCAAATGCTTTCTTTGCAAGTTTCTTAACATTTTTTAAATCTCTGAACCTCAAAATGCAATTGCATAATTCGTGATTCGTGAAGATGAGTTTCGATTCGACTCGCTCCGGAAACTCTGTTTCGAATTCGAAACGGAGCTTCAATTCAATCTCTTCAAATCCTTCTAACAAAGCCAGTAGTAGTGGTGCTAAAAGTACGAAGAATGATAAGAAGAAGAAGAATACGAACCAGAAAACCCTAGGCATGGCTTGGGGAGCCAATTCTCGCTCTTCCTCTCGCTCCGCCTTTCGTAATTCCCCCTTCTCCGATTTCGGCAGGTCCCGTCCCTCTTCTCTGTGTGTGTGTGTGAGTGCTGAGCAGGTTTTAGAAGTTGCTTTTATAGAAGTTAAGAAAGTAATTTAAGAAGTTTTATTGATAATTAACTGTAGGTTTCGTTGATTATTAAATGGCAATTTCAATAAATATAAAGATGAAGCTACTTGAAATCTCGATAATATGGATTTCTGCATGAGTAGAGGTATTGTTGTTTATGAACAAGATTGCACGTAACTTTTCATTGAAAACTTAGGTTGCCGATGTTTTGCAGAAAAAATACGGATACGAGGTATGCCTTGTAGTTTTAAGGGAACCAGGAATTTGTATCTTGTTGATGCTTTCTGAGAATTTCTGGTGTTTAAAGAGTTTGGCAGTATTTGGCAATTACCTGATTTTTTAGTTGTTTGGACTCTTTGGTCTATGAACTCACAATGTATTGTTACTTCCACAGTACTGGTTCACTATTTTATTGTTTATGTTATGACCAGTATGCTAATATGGATGGAGAAAATTCTAAATTATATTTACTTTGCAATACGTTATGTGTGTCCTTTGCTGCATTTGCTTCTTTACGTAATGTCTCTAGTCATGTTACTGAATCTTTCATACTCGTGCTTGCGTGATACTTGCAGATATACAAGTGTCATTAGTTCTACAATTATAATTTTTGATTTTAAGAATATTGTATCGCTTTCTTTAACAGATACAGATAATATGTTCAATTGTTGTTTCTCCCCAATCCTCTTTCATTTATATTATTTTGTTTTTCGATGTAAGTCTCTTTTCATTATTCGTTCAATTTTTCTTTTCCTAATCCTCTTTTAATTATTTTCTTTTCATTTTGGATGTAAGTCTCTTTTCATTATTCGTTTGTTAATTATGAATATATAATATTTTTAGTTTTGCTTTGGTCTTTGATTGTTTTTGGCTACTTGGGGTGTAGTTACATGGTTTTGAAGAATAAAAAACTACGCGAACAGTTTGATGCTGAGGCTTCAAGCTCTTCTCAAAGTGGTTCTGCTTCTGGGAAATCCATATTTCATGGGGTTTCGATTTTTGTGGATGGATATACTGTCCCATCTAGTCAGGTTTGATTTGTACTCTCTGTTTTTATTATATAGATGTATTGGATTGCTTAACCTTGTTTTGTTTGGATTCACACAGTCCATTGTATTAAATATGTTCATGCAATTCAAGAATTTTAATTAAAGTTGAGAAGAACGCTCAAGGTTGAAACTACAAATTTGTGAAGATTAAAACTAAGTATAGGAGTTATTTTAGACATTCCTTTTAATCTTTAAACGCTCTTTTTTTTTTTTTTTCCTTCAAAAAATCATTACTTCTCTTATTGTGTTTAGTAATGTGGACACAATTTTCTTTTTTTTTTTTTCACTTTTTTTTTTTTTTTTTTTTGCAGGAACTTCGAGGTTACATGTTAAAGTATGGAGGACGATTCGAGAATTATTTTTCAAGGCATCGTGTTACTCATATAATCTGCAGTAATCTCCCTGACAGTAAAATCAAGAATTTGAGGTTCACCTTGTCTTTGTATGTCAAACTGATGCATTGATGTTTTTGGTACTTTAACAAATTTCTGTTTGTGAATTTGATACAGGTCATTCAGTGGTGGGCTTCCAGTAGTTAAACCTACCTGGGTGCAAGATTCAGTTGCTGCTAATAAACTTTTGAGTTGTACGTCATATTTAGAGTTGATACTTTCGTTTAAATTTAGGTTTACTTCACTGTACTCACAATCAACTTCTGAAATTCGTTTTTGTAATGAACGCTTCTTCTAAATCTATGAATGGAAAATGTGGGAGAAAACCTGAGAAAGAACTCATTATTAGTCTTTTTTCAATTTTTAATAGCAATAGAGTAGGATTTGGAAAGAAAGTAATTCAAAGACTAATACTTTTTGATCTACTATCATTTCTGTTCTTTAAATTTGTAGGTTTTTCAGCATTCATGACCTTAGTTACCTGGAATACTATTTTAGCAGATTATGAATTAATATTATTTTCCTAGACGTGGTCTTCCAGCATCTCAGGGTACATAGAATATCTTCTCACTCATTCTCTCACCAGCTTATCTGTTTGGACAGAACTGTATCAAGAGGTGGAATACTCTTAACTCGTGATGACAACGAGCTAGCTTATAGTATAACTTGAACTTTTCAAAAAATATTGAAGTGATTTATTAAACACAGGTGGCAAATTGCTCCCAAGTCCTAACCTCCTTCCTGGGACAAAGATATATCCAAGCAATAGTTAAAGTAGGTTCATGAAAACCTGTTGTAGGATTTCACTGCTTCTGCATATTTGTAGGTCTGCTGATTTGCTTTTCATACTAGAGAAGATTATTAAAAGATTGCCAGTAAAAATTTGAGGGCATCAATCAATGTCACTCTGGTTGTTTTGGTTTGCCTGTAGGGATCCCTTATCAACTCCAACAGCTGGCAAGTGAAGTTCATAACCAACCAAAACTATCTGCTTTCTTTCCTCTGAAAAACGTCCAAGATTCTGATGATGTAGCCCCAAATCTTGGCAATCAAGTAATTTCTGAAACTAAGAATTCATCATTGGAGGATAGGGCTTTGATGGTTGCCAATTGTCCCGAACAGTGTGATTCTACAGAACAAGTGGACCAATGCAGTCCAGAATTTGATGGCCTTTTGCACGTGGGCCCTACCGAAATGATACTAGAAATGCCTGCTTGTAGTGTAGGCAGCCATTGTGAACCGAAAGGTGCTGAACTCTATGATATTTCCAGGTTAGACAGGATCAATACAGGATTTGAACCCAAGTCTAGTAGTTCATGTCAGGCTTCTGCTTCAGTTTGCAGTGGCATCCCTGATGATCATAATTTTAAAGAATCGTCAAGTTCAAGAATCAGTTTAGCTTCTAATCAGCCTCATTCAACTCTTGTAGATCCTGATTTTGTTGAAAATTATTTTAAGGTAAGAACTTGTTCTACTTTTGAGCTTGTCAGGTTTAGTGTATTGATTTTTTTATTTTTTATTTTCTTTTTAAATTTTGGACTATCTGTAATATTCTCTTTCTGTACAACCTACTATGATTTTCTGTGGCCTGACATTATGTACTTTATTGTTAAACTTATAATTTTACCTGCTATTTTCATTTCATTTTCGTTCGTTATCAGGTTACTTTCTCTTAGTTGCACTTATATTTGGGTTAAACTTATCTTAGTTTCTAGTATTTAACTTTGGTATCCAATCAGTCTCACATCTGAGGAAATGTTCTGTATTTATTTTCCATGTTGTGTTATGATTTATTTAAATGTTTGTTGATATTGCTTCAGTTTATTTGAATGTCAAAATTTAGTATTTTAGCCGTTCTAAATTTATTGGGGAACACAGACACATTATCCATGACTGCTTGGCTTCAAACTAACTAATCTAACATTATTAAAATCTTTCAACCTTTGTGTTTGAACCATTCACAGCTGTACCCTAATTAACTTTTGGATGTTCTAGAACTCTAGGCTGCATTTTATTGGAACTTGGAGAAATCGGTACCGAAAGCGTTTTCACAGCTCATCTGATGGGTTTAGAGACAAAAGTTCTTGTCTCAACGCCTCTGCAGTGGTTCACAAGACTGCCATAATACATGTTGACATGGTAAGTTTCTGTATTAGAGGGATTGTGATCGTTTTCACATGAGTTCTTTACCCCCCTCCCCCCAGTGACCCAAGAAAATATCATGTGTTTCTTCTTTATAAAGGTATTTTGATTGAAAATATTCTATTCCAGGATTGCTTCTTCGTAGCAGTGGTCATCAAGAACCATCCCGAATTACAAGACAAACCTGTTGCTGTTTGCCATTCAGATAGTCCCCGCGGAACTGCTGAAATATCATCTGCCAATTATCCTGCTCGAGATTATGGTGGGGCTTGTGTCCTGAAACTTTATTTTTGTTTTGGTTTCATATGCATTTTGTGACTTGTATGCTTCTAGGAATCAAGGCTGGAATGTTTGTTAAAGATGCCAAGGCACGTTGCCCTCATCTTGTAATTGTTCATTATGATTTTGGAGCTTATGAGAAGGTATCTGTTCAACCGTCTTACTTTAATTATATAATTTTTGCTAAGGCATGATATTTATTTGCACCTACTGCTATTTCTTCATATATGTCATTTTGCATAGCGATCATTTGGATTCGTTTGATTTCTTGGTTTACAGGTGGCAGATCAATTTTATGACATTCTGCATAAACACTGCAACAAAGTGCAGGTCTGCATTCGAAAATGCATTTCAAAGCTATATCCTGTTTCTGTTTTCCAGTTTTGAAAATGCAATTTTATCTTAATGCAGGCTGTCAGTTGTGATGAAGCATTTCTTGATGTCACCAACTCAAGAGTGGAGGATCCCCAGCTTTTAGCTTCAGTAATCAGAAAAGAGATTTTAGACACTACAGGATGCACTGCAAGTGCAGGGATTGCAGAAAATATGCTTATGGCCCGTCTTGCTACAAAAACTGCAAAACCGGATGGCCAATGTTACATTTCTCCTGAGAAGGTGTGACCCTCTGTTATAGATGCAAGTTCTATTTTTTTTTTCTTTTTCATTTTTTTTTTAATTCCATCACCATATGTTATTTTCATCGTTCCATTTGCCTATATTTCTCCTGGTGTTAAATTAGTTTATACTTGGAGTGTGTTTAACGTGATCTTCTGGTTTGCCTTCTGGTCTTGGTATTCTTTTTATGCTGCCTAGTTGACATTGTTAATTTATGTCTTTTTCATTTGAAAGAGGTGGGGTTGGGGGATGGGGATTCCATATTATTTCTGCTGATGTTCATTGTCAGTTGCGAAGTGAATTAAGTATTGCTATCCACTGTTTCCTCAAGCAGGTAGTAACTTTGGCATTATATCTTGCAAACTTGAAATAATAATCCTTATAAAGTAATTTTGTTTCTGTATGGTGCCTCTTTTTTTTTAATATAAACAAATCCCACGTGGCCATCCTAGCATTGAGAAGTACAGAAATTTCTGGTGGTCCCCAACTTTTTTTGTCATGCGATTTTTGCAAAATTATCAAAGTTGAAATTAATAAAATTAGAATCATCTTTCTGTGATACATTGAAAGTTTTTACGATGATATGATACCTTTCAGTCCAACTTCTCTCATGTTGTACTCCAAAATGATCAATATAACTTTGGTTGAGGTGCTGGGTTGTGGGGACTGGTGAGGTGAGCTCTTCCCACAGCTTTTACTGATGTAGAACTGTTTGGAATTTTGTAATTCAATTATTTAGTGTTTTTACTCTACTTTTGGGTCCCTGTTTTGCTTGTGGTCCTTTGAACTCTTATGGAATTTTTTTCTGATTATAAATCTCTTGCTAATTAAGCCCCTGTTTGGCTCAGATTTTAATCTGAATCAAAGTCAAACAATCAAACATTAACCGCATCTTTCATGGGTCCCACAATTTTTCAATTAGATATTTAAAAAACTTCTATCAAAATCTACAAAAAATCTAATTTTAATCCACAACAAACACTGAGTTTTTTAGTAGATCTTTTTGTCTCTTCTTTGGATGTATGAGTTGTCAAACTTCATTGGAAACCGTGTATCATGATTCAAACTTGCCTATCGTTACTTGGCGATGCTAAAATTTAATCCTGATACATTCTCACATGTCAATCTACTTACATTACTCGGAGTTAGAACATTATTTCTTTTCTATTACTTTTTTACTGCTATATGCTGCCCAACACGTCAAAGAAGTGGGCTGAAAAAGGTTATAGAAGCATGAAATTCAAAAACTGAAAAGGAAGATGATGAAGGATACTGAGGTTAAAGATCAATTTCAGTACATCTCACTGATTATGTCTAGTTGAGTTTTCAGGTGAATGATTATTTATGTGAACTTCCAGTCAGAGTACTGCCTGGAATTGGTCATGTTTTGGCAGAGAAGTTGAAAAAAAGGCAAATTGAAACTTGTGGACGGCTGCACGTGATATCCAAGGTAAACTTTTGGTTTAGATGGATCATGATGTCATTTGTTGGTGCATTAATACAACTCATGAGCACAAAATGAACTGAAGTATCAAATAACTAATGCTCCATTTGGCCAAATTTTGTAAATCATTATATATGGTCAAACTTTATTTTCAACCAAACATTCCAATGGACTCACAAGTACTATACACTTATCCACTACTCATTTCAATTTATTTATAAATTAAACTGTTAAAAAATTCTTCCCGAATGGAGGCCGAATGTCAAACATTGTAGATAATGTTGTTTGTTTAGTTATTTTCAAAAAGACTTAAATTTTCTACATCCAGCAATTGGCTAATTATGGGATGTACCACTTCGGAACTTTTCAGGCTTCAATGCTTAACTATTTTACCTATTTGCTTTAAATTTTTAATGTGCCTTCATTCTCTTTCTCTACCTGCTAATATAGTATCTGAAGTGGCTTTTACAAGTCTGCAGTTGTGTGTGTGTGTCTATTTTTGAATTTCACTTGCTACTACTGAAGGAAAATATAATATTCAAAGAACTAGTTCTATAGTACAACATTTTAATTTTAGATTTCGTCTCTGTGATGTTTCCAGGAATCTCTTCAAAAGGAGTTCGGTGTGAAAACTGGAGATATGCTCTGGAATTATAGTAGAGGGATCGACAATCGACATGTTGGCGTGATTAAGGTCAGTAACCACTATCTTTATTTTGCTCCTTCTATGATTGTACTACAGCAGAAGGCATTCAGTATTTTTCCCATGCTGTTCAACTAACATTCTGACATTGCTATGTTAGTGAGGTCTGTCATGTATAGTTGGTGTGTGAGTCCCTGGCTTCAGAGTAGTAGTGAAGCCAGCATAATATGCTATTATCATCTAAGATATGGGATGTATGGATGTGAGAAGTTATTGAGTATATTATGGAGAAATTAGAGCAAGTTGTTTCTTTCGAATGCTACAGAAAGATCATAAGAACTGTCATTCTTTGTTTGATAGAATAGGCTAAACTGCTTATACTTTCCATTCATCACAGCAAGTGGCACAGAGCAGACAACAATCATTTCTTAGACTAGGCAAACTTTCTCGTACTTTTCAGTCACGTGGCACTTGCTTCGGTTATGTAAAGCTTAATATACGGAAGCCTAACTATACTTATATTTTGACGTTTTTGCAGGAAAGCAAATCTATAGGCGCTGAAGTGAACTGGGGTGTGAGGTTCAGGAATACAAATGATGTCTGTAGTCTATTGTGGAATTGATTTTCTTTTACCTTTCTGTAAAGTATTAATAGTGCTTTTGATTTCAGACTCAACGCTTCTTGACAAACCTATGCAAGGAGGTTTCATTGCGATTGCAGGGATGTGGAGTGTTAGGTCGCTCTTTTACCCTAAAGGTTTGGCCATATGTTGTTATTGAAAGTTCTCATGACGAGTGACATCATGGGGCCTGCATGCGACTACTTTATCATTACTGAAAATTTCTCAAATTTAACACATTGAAGAAAAATTACGTTAATTTGACCAATGGCATTATGTAGATAAAGAAGAGACGAAGTGATGCTGGCGAGCCAATAAAGTATATGGGCCATGGAGACTGTGAGAACCTTAGCCATTCCATTACGGTATATAACATTATTACATCAACATTTTTTTTCTGGATCCATGGTATGACGTTGCCATTCTTTTTTATATAAAAGCATTCTTGAACGACAGATTCCGATGGCCACAGATGAACTGGATGTGCTTCAGAGGATAACCACTAAGCTTTTTGGATATTTTCAAATAGGTAAGTTGGGCTCATTGATCTTTTTCCATTATCACGCTATTAATATAATTCGCTATTTGCAGACCTTTCTTTTGGGACTGAGTGCACTGAAAATTGAATTAGCGTATGCCTGCCAAATGGTTTGAAGATGGATGCTTTAACAAGAAGCTTCTGACTCGTTCTTACCAGAAATACAGCCATTATATTTCTTTCACTTAATAGTAGGCTCAGTTTAAATTGACAAAGCCATGTGAAGAATTTCCCTTTTGTCCTTTATTCATTTGTTTATTCCAGATATTGATAAATTTATTGTATCTTTAAATGATAAAGCTAAACCACTTTTTCATCTGGGTCGTTTTCATTAATTTTCTTTTCCTGGGATGGCAAGTTTTAGTGCCTACTTGGCAGAATTTTAAATATCCACATATTGTGTACATGGACATTGAATTCCAAAATGCCATTTGATCAAGTATCTCCTCTCCCTGACAAGGAGATTCATCACTCAAAAAGCTAGTACGAACGTTCCTTGCTTCTTGAATACTTTGGTATCATGTGTAATAATGCATTCTTCTCTTCAAATTTTTTGATCTGATGTATTTTTATTTTTATTTTTATAAATTCTATCAGTGATCTGCATATTTACAAAACTATCATCATGCTGTTATATGTATTTTTTGAATTCTTGCTTTTCTAATCCTCAAGAGAGTTTGTTTGGTTGTATAAACTATCATGTCTCTTTCCCTTACTTAGCAGTAGGATGACCATATACTTTATCTTTGAATTGTTTGATATTTTCTTTATTTTTTTTTGGATATTTTGTTATTTTTAGTTTTTGCTTTTTGAAATTCAATTTTAGCCCATGTTTGAGCCCCATTACATTAAATTCTATTACATTTCATTTTTCTCTCTCCTATTTTCAACCACACAATCTTCCATAAAATAATATTACACGTAAATCGAAAACTTTTCATTCTTTTTCAACCACTCATTTTTCAAAAAAATATTATTTCCCCCATTATTTTTTCCACGGAATGGGGATCAAACAGGGGCTTAAAAATTTGTTTTGAAGTACATCTACAGAAGTTGTTATGTAGTGGATCTTGTTTAACTGTAAGGGACATATTACTTTTATAATTTTATCCATAGATAATATGAAATTGTTGTTGCAGATGTTGAAGATATCAGAGGAATGGGTTTGCAGGTTTCAAAACTTGAAAACACAGATAATGGCAAGCTAGGTTTGTGTTTTATGATTATTAGCTCTCTCTAATATTTTTGGAAGAATCCTAAGCATTTCAACTATTTATTATTGGTTTCTAGATTGATATATAGCCCCTTTGTTTTGCCCCCATTTTTTTTTTTTCCAAAACACATTTTCTGCCACACATTCTCCAACAAAAAACTATTCCAAAATGCATCTTTTCCCAAAATTGGGGCTAAACAGGGGCATAACATTTTTGCAATTTCCTTTGTTATTTCAATGTTTCTTTTAGCAACTGATCTGATTTGCTTTTGTCCTGAAGTCCACCAGAGGAATTCCATTCTCTCCTGGCTCGTTTCCACTTCAACAAAGGACAGAGAGCAAGAGAAATTTACTAATCACACCAAGCACAATGATATAGGTATTATAAACACATCTTGTTATATTTTGTTATTGCAAATTTTCTTTTGGACGTGGAATTGTGCAATAGAATTTAGTCACACAAAATAGCTTCAAGGTTTACTTTTTTAGGTGTTTGACGTGGTTATGAAACTTGTGCATGATTATATTGGCTAAAGATAATTTGTACTCATTCAGCTCCCCCCCCCCCCCCCCCCCCCCCCCCCCCCCCCCCCCCCCCCCCCCCCCAAAAAAAAAATAAATAAATAAATAAAGGAAAAAGTGAAAAGGGATACATTTCCTCCAAGATGTTGGTGCTTCCTCTGCTGAAACATGGTCAAAAGGATGGATTTTTAAATAGGTCCGCCAATATTATTGTTAGTGTTGCATCGGAAAATAAGTTGAGCATGGATAACGTCTATGGTTTCTGTTTGTTCCATAAATTGCACTCTTGTTGGTCATCACCTTTAAATACTGGACTTAGTTCAGCTTAAGAGTCTGAAAGAGTTCTCGTCCTCCTCTTTTTATCCATTACTTGTATCAACTCTGTAGTCATGATATTCTTTAGGTTTCTGTATCTTGACTTAATTTCTAAATTTAGCTTTAGAGTCCATGTAGAAACAATGCATAGTAACCCTCTGATTTTAATCCACACCAAACAGGGGCTAAGAAAATTTTCCATATTTTGTTTGTATAAAAATGTTGGGTCTTGACTTAAACTGAACAGTAGGAGTTTTATTTGTGTTACAGTTGGGGAACTGAATTGTGAAGGAGATCGAGGTCAGTTGTGCTCCAATCACGCTGGACCATCTGTCCGAAGTGATGCTGGTTTGTCTGCTGGTGTAAGTGGCAGTAGACAGGGTGTGATTCTCCCTCCTCTGCATGATCTTGATGTGGGAGTTATAGTCTCTCTTCCACCTGATGTCATTGCAGAAATTAATGACATGTATGGTGGGGAGTTAACAAGTTTCATTTCCAAGTATAAAAGTGACATGAATATGCCTGCTATGTCAGTTGATAGTTTTGAGGGTAAAATTTTAAACCTTTCCTCTGTTTAAAAGTGGATTTTCTTCTCCTTGTCAAATGTCTCATGATGAACTGTTGCATTCCGATTAGGGGTAACTGCTGAGGAAAAAGAATGCCATCCCTCTTATCTGGTCCAATCTAATAAATTCCCCTTTGACATTAAGGTACTGCTCCTACTCATGTTCTATGTAGCTTGTGCACAATTAACTACAGGATCTGAAATAAATCAATATCCCAGTGAAATAAAGTATAAATAAAACAAATTTTTGTGCTTAAAATTTGTTATCGAGGTCAGTTGTGCTCCAATCACGCTGGACCATCTGTCCGAAGTGATGCTGGTTTGTCTGCTGGTGTAAGTGGCAGTAGACAGGGTGTGATTCTCCCTCCTCTGCATGATCTTGATGTGGGAGTTATAGTCTCTCTTCCACCTGATGTCATTGCAGAAATTAATGACATGTATGGTGGGGAGTTAACAAGTTTCATTTCCAAGTATAAAAGTGACATGAATATGCCTGCTATGTCAGTTGATAGTTTTGAGGGTAAAATTTTAAACCTTTCCTCTGTTTAAAAGTGGATTTTCTTCTCCTTGTCAAATGTCTCATGATGAACTGTTGCATTCCGATTAGGGGTAACTGCTGAGGAAAAAGAATGCCATCCCTCTTATCTGGTCCAATCTAATAAATTCCCCTTTGACATTAAGGTACTGCTCCTACTCATGTTCTATGTAGCTTGTGCACAATTAACTACAGGATCTGAAATAAATCAATATCCCAGTGAAATAAAGTATAAATAAAACAAATTTTTGTGCTTAAAATTTGTTAATTATGTGATTTCCCATTCATCCAATGCCAATGCCAATGCCAATGCCATTGACATAGAAGTGGTCTGTTAGGCATTGAAGGAGCCAGTCAAAGGGCGCTTGAATCATTTTTCTTTGAATAGTAACCGATTTCTGTAGGTTTTTAGCCAAGTAATGGGATTGCACTTTCTCAAAAGATTGCTATTTAGAAAGCTAAAAAATTTAGTGATTATCTTACATTTACTTTAGCATCCTGCTATATAATTCACTTCCTACACCGGATCAATCCAGTAATCTAGTAATCTGATTTATCTTGTAATAACTGGGTGCATGATTGTAAATGAATTGATGAGATCACATTTTAAGGTGGATGAATGTAGTATGAGGATCCAGCAGGATCAGCTGCTTCTAACTTTTCCCCTCCTTTTCCTTTCACTTGCATGTGCTGAGCTTCAATTTAACTAGCTAATAGTAGTAGGTCACTATAAAACCTGCTGATGCCAGCATGTATGTGGTGACATTGTGTTTCACATTCGGATATGATTGTTATTTTTCATCAGTTATTTTGCTGTTCTGAGTAACTTAACCAGTTCTTACATACTGCAGTTGTTTGATTATCGTTGTTTCTGGTTGCTAAGTTCCTTCAAGGAACCTCTCATCCACTCTCTTTTCGTGAAAATGTGTTTTTGTCATCAAAAGGCATTGATATCGTACCGTAGTCAATACTAGCTATTTTATCCTTGTGATTGACAATCTTCTATCAGTCTTCTATAAAAATCTGTATCATTCTGATACTTAGGAGCTGTGAAATATATCAGTCTCTTTAATATGTATCATCACCTATTTATTTATTGTGTTTCTTAGTTATGTTTTCTTAAGGCAGAGGTCAATTAAGGTAGAGATATAATCCCGCAGCAATTCATCTGTGAAATAAAAAAAGATCAGGTCCTCAGGATTTCCTAATATAATAGATTATTTTTTACTTTCTTCAGTTTATGGTGATAATTTTCTGTGCTTTTGTTCCGAAAAACAGTATGGTGATGAGGAAACCCCCATTCGACCTTTCTCCGCTCCAGTTTCTGAAAATATTGCTGTAATGCCCTCATCTCTGAGTCAGGTAGATCACTCGGTGTTGCAACAACTTCCTCAAGATTTGAGAGAAGACATACTTGAGTTTCTTCCTGCACACAGGAGACTAGAATCTGTGCCAGATGCTTTGCTGAATCCAAGTGAGAATCAGACTGGATCTCCTCAGTTTGTTTCAACTAATGAGCTTTGGGTTGGAAATCCTCCTCTGTGGGTTGACAAGTTCAAATTGAGCTGCTGTGGGATGTTGAACCTTTTTGCTGAGATGTATTATAGATCAGGACATACTTGCCATTTGTCTTCTATACTTCAGCGGCTTTTCTGTGAGCAGCGTGTTCCTCTAGATGTGGGCACTAATGAATGGGACGATGCTGTTAGTTGCTTATGTGAGCTTGTTAAACAATATTTAGAACTCAAAATTCAAACAGATATTGAGGAGGTTTATGTTTGTATCCGCCTTTTAAGAAGGTATGTACATGATACAAATTTTTAATTTTGCAGAAGTGCACTTGTGATGATATCGCTTTATATGCATGATTTTCTCTGTTTGCATTTTCTTGAGAATAATATACATGGATACAACTATACCAGACCTGAACGAGACAAGAATGACTAGCCCATTTGTCATGTTCTGGAAAAGTAGGACACGTAGAGAGGTAATATTTTGATGTATATTGTCCAAAAAAACGTCGTTTTATTTTAGAAAAGCAAAACCTTTTTCCACATTAAACATGGTGATGCAGATCCTTAAAGTTATGCTGGAAGGCTTATCAAATGCTAGACATGTATTTCTAGGCAAAAGAATGAGTAATTTTCAATTCTTTACTAGATATTTTAAGCATAAATAGGTTTTAAGGTCTTTTTTTTTTTTTTTAATTAATTATGCAGACAATGAATTGAATATAAGGTTTTTGAAATTTCCTCTTCTTGATCTTCTTTCTTTTCTGTCTCTTCTCCTCTCTCCACTTCTCCCCTCTTGTGCCCTACTTTATGTTCTTGTGTTCTATATGCTTTGATATATCCACTGGTGTCGAAGCTTGCTTCACTTCTCTAACCAAATCTCAATCTAGGCTAATGTTAGTGTTTCTAGTCAAAAGAACAATGTACTGTTTAGGTATTTTTGTCACAAAAAAAAAAAAAAAAAAAAATTAAGGAAAAGAATTCAGTTATTTTTATCAAAAAGACAAGAAAAATGAAAAGGAAGGTTGAATTGTTTGTTCAAGGGGAAGGTTAATAGTGTTGGCAAAAAAGAGTTCTTAGTGCCATACCAAAATTTTGCTCATTTTTCATTTTCTAAGGTGAGATTGACATTGGAAATTCCTCGTGCATGTCCGCATTTGTCTCATATCCAAAATTAGAAAGTAACAGAGATACTTTGTGAGCTTCCTGCATCAGACATGTATCTGTCCTACATGTGTTGGACAAAAAACACTTTTGGCTTGGGGAAGTGTCTCAGAGTTATTCAAGTCAGGTTGAGTGTGACAATATTTGATATTGTTTTCTCTACCTTATATTTTCCTAATGTTTCTAGTACTATAGCATGGTAGATTGTTTTATCATTTACGTGTTCTTGAAAACTTATTATGTGCTGTACTGTGTTATTCACTTATTTGCCAAGGTTTAATGTTGTTATACACAAAGACACGGTTGATTGATAAGGCTTATTTTTCTCTCAGGTTAAATGAGAGGTCGAAACTTTTTGGACTAGTTTGTGACAGCATACTTCCTCATCTCCAGGTTTCTTTGTCTTAGCCAATATCATCGACCCCCATGTCTTCCTTCTTTCCCCTCTTCCCTTATCCTTCTTTATCCGGTTTTTCATCGTTACATGGTGGGGAGGATATTTTGCTGTCTCGACAGTCTCCCTATGAATTCTTTTTAATTTCGTTCTTATTATTCTTGTGGATTCAACTCTTCAGGCATCCTTTGGTGAAAATTATGGAGGAACTCTTAATGTCTCTTCTGTCAAGGACTGATGTATTAAAGATATGGTTCTAAACTTCACCGCCGTTGGATTTATGATACAATTTCATAGTTGAAAATACCATGATCGTTGGCATTACATTCTCTTCTAGCAACTGGAATCTGGCCATGACACCGGATGATGTAGGCGAGTCATTGCTGTGCAGGTGCTTTCTGCATGATGATCCTGTTAGCGATGTTTGAAACCTTCGAGGGGTGGAGCCTTGAGTTCTTCTAGTATTAAGATTTAAGCTGGATCAGTATTGCGATGCAAAGATGGAGTTAAATCAAGAGAATGTGCCTATATGGGCATTTTGTTTTGGTAAATATCACACAACACAATATTGGGAAAATTGCAGCAGAGTTCCCTAGCCAGTTATTAAAGTGTAGCAGCAGCAGGGACATTGTGTAATGGTGGTTCTTTTGAAATCTGAAGGTTTGGTAAGTTGAAAATGTTGGAATATTCTGAGTGCAAAAAAATGGTGTGTGTAGAGAATTCCTTGAACATAAAATTTGGTATGTCATTGGAGGACTCCTTGCCTTAATCATTGGTTTCTAAAGGTGGAGTTTTCGAAGCTTTGTGCGGAAATCTTTGGTCTGCGTCAGATCTTTCCATTTATGTTCGAAACTTTCAGCAGTGGAAGGAGTTGGGAGGGAGGTGTTGGCTCTTGATCGCAATGATTTTGTGACTCCCGAGGGGAGAGTGGGGTGAGTTGGGTTGGATAATCTTATTCTAGTTTTTTCCCCTCAAATTTTATTCATAATTATTTTATTAATGTTCTTTTCATAGAATAATGTGTTAATTCATTTACTCTTAAAAAATTGGACGTGACGATTGCAAGTAACTTTAAAGGTAAATTTGGCAGATTCCATCTATAAAAAATCCTGCTACCACAAAAATAGAAGATTGAAACTGCCACTTCTTTAGGGATCCGTCTGCACTTCTGCAATTTCCCCAGGATTTTCTGAGGAAAATGCTGAAATTGGACGTTGAATTCGTCCCAACATGTTAATTAGTTAAAGATGTAAATGCAAGTCTTCTGGTGATGTTATTGCATGTTATGAAGTCGGCCTAACTATTTAAACCCACGTTCAGTCTTTTTTCCTTTTGGAAATTGTTCATCTGTTGGGTAAATTAATTCGATTGCTACAATATAATTTTTCATCACTAGAAGGATATGCTTGATTTGATCTCGATTTTCCCAACTCATATTTGCAAATTAAGAAAACATAGAAGCACAAAATGGGGCATAGTTCTCGTCTTAGGAAAAAAAGAGAATTCTGCTATGTAAAAAGAGAATTCTGCTATGTAAGATTCCTCGAGAAGTATTATATTACGGAGCAATGAAATACCGCGTTTTTTCAAAGCTTCAACGACTTAAATACAAGCATGTATACTAGTCGTTTTCGCTTTCTATCACTGGAAGCTTCAGCGGGATAGTTTCTAGCTTTTCTTTCAACCATTAGGTGATGGTGAGTTACTATTATGCCCTTGTTTGATCCCCATTCTTTAGAGAAAATGAATTCTTCTACAGTATTTTGATATAATTTCAACCACACATTCTTCAATAAAATAATATTACACGCAAATTCAAAATTTTTCTTTATTTTTTAACCACATATTTCACATTAATACACTATTCAAAAATTCATTTTTCGCCTCAAAATGGGGATCAAACAAGAGCTATATTATTAAGCCTTTGGTCCCCCTTTTTTTTTTTCAAATTTTAATGTTTGAAATAGTGTCTTTTTTTAAAAAAAACGCGTGATTGAAAAAAATGAAAAGTTTTTGATTTATATGTAATATTATTTTATGGAAGATTGTGTGGTTGAAAATAAGAGAAGAAAGAAATGAAAGAGAATGGGGGCAAACGAGGCTTAATAAATAGAAATATATTTTCCAACTTTATTAAACAGTGACTTCATAATACAATAAGATGGCCAACTTTTATAATTTGTTTCATTTTTTTCTTAGGTTTATTTTAATTATTATTTTTTGTAGCTCAAACTATTTAAGGTCAATTATCTCCTTTGTCGGTTTAGAGTATTTTTTCCTCGTTAAACTTTTTTATATCTTGAATAAAAATTGAGATATTTTGCGGTATTCTTAGGATTAAATGAACCTTTGATTACTGAATTCTCAGTATTCTTAGAAATAATATATTTTTAGATTTATTGTCTTTATTTCATAATATAATTAGCCTTTTAAAATCGTGTATTATGGAAAAACTTTTAGTGAAAATTGTCAAAGTAAATGAAGTCGTTTTCCACCGCGTTAGGATCAGTTTTGGAAGAATTCTAGAAAGAACGTAGAAAGCCATTGAATTTGGCAGGAGATTTAGCCTTGTTTGGTCCTATTTTTTCAAATTTTAATATTTGGAATAGTATTTTTTAAGAAAATGTATGATTGAAAAAGGAGGAAAAGTATTCGATTTATGGGTAATATTATTTTATAGAAAATTGTGTGATTGAAAATAAGAATGGAAAGAAAAAATTGAAAGAAAAAAGGGGCCAAACGGGGCTTAATTACACGGGGCGTTGGCATGTTGCTCCATATTTCTATTATGAGATTCAAGGAATATCTCATCAAATTCCATGAAAGTAAGCTCGAGCCAATTGCTGCCCCCATCCTTGCGATTACATATTAATTTTTCTAGGAGCTATTCCAGCCGGACCACAATTGGGTCAAATTGACCGGTTTAACTTTGTTCTAAATATAATTTTAACGATCTTACCTCTCAATTTTTTAATTTGGTTCTAATTTATTATATTAACTAGGTCTGGGCATGGTCCGGCTCGGTTCCGTTCTTAGAATCGAACCGGATCGAACCGGATCAGAACTTTTTAGGTATCAAGTAAGTGGAATCGTTGGGTCCAAATTTAATTATAGAACCGTTCGGGTTCGGTTTCATTTGGTTCCCAGATTCTGTATTATAATTATTTTTTTAATATTTACGAAGCTATATTTATTCAATTAATGACATGTTTAATCTTAATTCTTACAAAATAACGTGGTTTAATCTTATGTGTCTTTTGTATATCTCTTTGTTGAGTTCTTCATAGGTTTGATTGTTAGCATCACAGGAAGAGGAAAATAGCGAGTTTACAATAATTAAGAGAGACGCTGTTGAGTTTCAATTCAGTTTGTGCTTAAAATGAAAATTAGAAACATGAAATCATATTTTTGGGTTTGAACTAAATTAACTAGTTAACAAATTTATTTAGAAAAATTAAAATAATTTGGCTTACTTAAAATAAATAAACTAAAAAAAAAATAAGGGAGATTTTGTTCTTATTCGATTATTCGGTTCTTGATCTAGAACCGATAATCAAATCAAACACGTCGGTTCTCGATTCAGATATCCGTTCGGATATTTAACTTAAGAAGAACCGCTTAGTTCGGTTCGATTCAGTTAGAGTCTGATTCCATTAGGGAACTTTGTCCATCCCTAAATTATTAACGTACTTTAAATAATTAACTCTTTTACTTAAAATAGAAAACACGAAATTAAATTCCAAAAATGTAATCAAGAATTTACTGCTTACAATTTTGTTATGAGACATAAAAAAGGGGAATCATAACTAATCGAACCGAAACCAATTGGTTCAAAGTTGTATCATAAATTGGATCTCATCAAATCTGAATTGAGATGAACCAAACCTAATTCTCATATTTATCGTAAGTTCAAATCATATAGCTTCTATGTATCAAACATTAGTTATAGTGATATATCTGACTAGGTAGCGAGGCACACCGTACACGGCATATAGTCGACTTGGTAAACGGAGTGTACAGTTTGTCTTTTGGCCAGAATCAAGTCACAATACTCTTAAAAGTCCAAGTCAATGTCTTCTTTGCATATTATCATGAAGGCATCACAATTCATAAGGCATCACTTAATTAGGTAGGACTAGTGGATGTGACATGAAATGGACGGTACTCAACGTTTAGGTCTACGTTCAATTTCAGAAAAATCCAAGCCCAAGCCATGTCTACCATCAATTAGGGACGGAGCCAGCACTCGAGGAGTCCCTGGGATCAGCCGTGCTGATTCCATTGATTTTTTCCCTTCTACTCGATGATCGCTTGGGGGTTGTTTGTGCTCACCTGAATTATGGATCTGTCATTACCGTCAACAATAAGAACCCTACTTGGTTTTGGTTTGCAATATGGGGGATTTCGGATTCAAATTCAGTGTTTTTTTTTTTTTTTTAAACAACTAACCTCCCTTTCAATGAGCGGGAGATAAGCTAAGTCAGGTGGTTGGGGTGGGAAGGTTAAACTTCCACGAGACGAGGGTGGCATATTTTATTCATACTAAAATAAAATACAAATTTAGAACGAAATATGCAACCTCGTGAAAATATATATGAGGAAAAATTAAGTTTTTGTTTGATAGTGATTAAATTTTAAATTTTAGTTTAAATTAAAGCCAACAAATAGTTTTAAACACATATATTTATGGATCTTACAACTTTTAAACTTTATATTTCATCAATTTTTATTAAGATCTATTAAAAATCTGATATTAATCCCATCAAACACGGGCTAAATTGGCGGAAAACGAAGAAGAGTAATTACAAATTTGTCATTGTTTACTTTTCTTTCCTTCTCATGAAAGGAACGAAGACATGAATTTCTTCGTTCACACCACGCCATTTCAACATTAACATGCCCATTCATATATATATGAATCATAGTAGATCTAACTGCAGCACAAAGCCCATAAAACCATAACATGGCTAACTCAATTATACTGTGTCTGTGTTTCTCTTCCTTGGTAATTCTAGCAGCCATTCAAGGAATCCATGCAGTGGACTATACATTTACAAACACTGCAGCAAACACTCCTGGAGGTGTTAGATTCACTAATGAGATTGGGGAACAATACAGCATCCAAACGCTGGATGCAGCTACGAATTTCATATGGAAAATCTTCCAACAAGACACGACTCCGGCCGACAGGAAAAATGTCCAGAAGGTGAGTTTATTCATCGATGATATGGACGGAATTGCGTACACCAGCAAAGATGAGATTCACGTCAGTGCAAGATACATACAGAGTGACTCTGGGGATGTGAAAACGGGGTTCACCGGAGTTTTGTATCATGAAATGACTCACGTCTGGTAATGGAATGGAAATGGTCAAGCTCCAGGAGGTCTTATAGAAGGTGTTCTCGAATCACTTCATCTAAAAATTTAAACTTTCAGTATTTAGATAGCGTTTATCTAGTTGAATTCTTACTTTAACATCATATTGATGATTGGATAGTTAAATTTCACAACTTTAACAGGAATAGCTGATTATGTGAGGCTAAAGGCTGGTTATATAGCAAGTCATTGGGTGAAACCCGGGGAAGGAGATACGTGGGATCAAGGTTACGATGTGACGGCACGATCCTTGGATTATTGCGAGGGTCTCAGAAGTGGATTTGTTGCAGAACTTAACAAGAAAATGAGAGATGGTTACTGTAACAACTATTTTGTTGATCTTCTGGGCAAGACAGTAGATCAGCTCTGGATGGACTACAAAGCAAAATATAATACCTAATTAAGAGGAATATTATATGTTTTGGGGCATTCAATTTCGAATAATTGATAAAGAATAATCTGTTCCAGAAAAGAAAAATTATATAAAGAATAATCTCAAGCCCTTGCTAACAGTACACTGCTATGATTTCCAATGTATTAAATTGTTTTACTAAAAAAAAAAAAAAAAAAATAGTACTCTTACAATATTTCTCTACATTTCTGGTTTTATTTTTAAATTTTTATTTCTTCGTCCAATAGTAGCCGTGTTTTTACTTGTGTGACGGAATTCTTCTTTCGTTTTTAAACACTGATATGAGATTTTTTC